GGGGGGGGTGGAAGTTCTCAAACTAAACCATTACCTGAACAATGCTGCTCAAATTTCCTATCCAACTTGTATTCTTACAGAAAGAAAGCAAGCTTGGAATCACAGTGGCATTACTTTAGAGGTGCCAAGGTTACTCTTGGAGTTGCTTCTTGCCCAAACAGCTAAGCTGTCTATCATCAATCTGCTTCTGGGGTAAATGGGATACTGGCTACTGTCCCAAATTCAAGCAATACAAACAAACAAGAAAGAAATCTATGTTAGATTTGTGAAGTGAAATAAGACCTTGCCTGGCTGGAGAGTTCTAGGGCAGTGCTGAGCCCCTGAACTTGCTAGGGACACTTTTCCTCTCCCAAGAGACTGCACTTGCCTTTGAACTTTCAGCCATATAAAAAAAGGCTGAGTTGAAATGTCAGCATCATCTTGGATTCAAATCAATCAGCTTGATGCATGATTGCAATAGCTAAACCACTTCACCTCTGCACTGCCCTCGTCCATATGTTCTTTATATCAGCAGTCAGCAGACTGGGTGGCTCAGTGGATTCATTTCCTGTCCTAGGCTTGGGCTCCAGTTTAAACAAAACAAAAACCCCTGAAACTGGAAAATAAAAACTAGCATCTACTGACAGTTAATGACAGTTAAATTCACCAGATTTGTTTGCATCAAGTCTCTTTCTCCATCCAAGAAAGTTGCAAGAAACCCTTCAGAAAGCCCTGGTACAACTGGTGATTTTTAACTATCTACTCAACTAGCTGGTCACAGTTCTACAAAACTAGCAAAGGAATTAAAGACCTTTCAAATGCTGACATACCTTTGGGTGAGGAGAAAGCAATGAAGAGAAGGGGGGACAGCCCCGAGCAGTGTCAACTTAAAGGAAACAGACAGCCCTACCTCAGTAAATTAATAGCCCACTGAGTAGCAAAATCTCCACCCACTTCTAGAGCTGGGCTTCCTCCAGATGATGCTGCTTTTTATCAGCTACAATGCAAGAGTTAAATTCCCAAGATAATTTAAATCTAAACAATGTGCAGCCTTCAGCATTAATATAGGTGGCTGCCAGCTGGTGACAGTTAAGTGGTTACTTTCCCAAGCTAAACTTATTAGCTAAGGGTCAAGACACTCTGCAATAATCAAACTGCACTTAACAGCTTGCTCTATCAGAGCACAGTATGTTACTGGGGAAGGGGAGTTTTCTCATTGAAGGTATGTTAGAGCAAGCCAGTTTCTTCAGGAGCCTGTCATACTTTGAGGTTAGACATCCGTGCTGGACCATTTCCTTTGCAAAAGAAAAGTTGACCTGCCATTTGGGAGATAACAAGAAAGTATGCACGTCTGAAATAGCTGCACTGTAGCCTTTGAATGATTTTAAGTTCTTTGACTTGGTTTCCTTGGTTCACCCTCCCACCATCCTATCTTCCCTCATAAAATGCTAAAACAAATAAATTAAGAAAGGGCAAGGAAGGCCTCATAAAAGGACCACTACTAAAAATAATCCATCCTCCAGACAGGCTACAGTGGCTCCCCCAAAGACACTGTTCCAGAACAGCACAAAAAAGGATCAACTTTTTGATCACTGGGGATTGAAGGACAACTCAATAGATAGGATCTCTGAAGCCTCAAGATGCAAAAAGACACCATCAGTCTAAAGAAGGGATGCTGCAGCCATGGCTATGCACACACAACTCCTCAAACTGCTCTGTGTGCTTGATCAATCCATTATCTCCTGGCTTAGTGTGTCCTACTCACAAAATGCAACCTTACTACTCCAGGGTCCATTGGGAAAGAAAACTTTTACTTTGGTCTCTGGAAACAGGGGACTTCTTGAATTGGAAGCTCAGAGCCACTGTAGTTGCCATTCTGCTGACACATGGAGAACAATAGTGACTCCCAGAGAATTAGAGCATTTGCAACACAGCAAGAAAGCAAGTTAAAAATAGTGCAGGTCCAACCTGCCAATCATACCTACCTCACACCAACATCAAAAGCACCAGCTGCACATACAAATAAAATAAAATATTGAGGAGAAATCTAACTAATACCAGAAAAAGATAAAAGCATTCTGAGGTTCTACCCTGCTAATTTGCTGTGGCTTCATAACCGCACTGTTTTTGTTTTGTTTCAGTACAGTTTTCTGTTTTCTTTTGTCTGCTGTTTCCAGGAAGGACCCACACAGATCTAAGTATCCTACCCTCAGAGGAACCAAATTGGTAGTAGGAGAGAGTGCAGAAAGGAAAGAGTACAAAAGGCTTTATATCAGGTTGCCAAAAAGCCCTAAAAAACTCTTTTCAGCCTCTTTTACTTACAATTCCAAGTGACACTTACATTAAGAATTAACACACAGAGAAAGTAAATACCTCCATTTTAAAACTGATGCCTCTGGACAGCTTGAGGTGCTGTGCACACCACTAGTGTCAATGCTGCTACTAGAAATTAAGTGGCACAATGCTGCTGTACTAGAAGAGTTGCTTGGGTTTTTTTATTTTCCTCCTTCTTTCAAGAATATGGAACTGTCAGTAGCGCCAGATGTTTTAGGGAGAAAAAAACCAAGGTAAAAAGAATCTCACACATGAAAGCGAGGGCTTGCTACTGGCTTTCTGCTCACACTCTGCATGCCGTATCCAAGCCCAAAAGAACAGTTCCACCTCGAAAACTGACTGCATAAAATTGTCACCTCGTTCCACAGACCTGCTCCTGTGAGAACGCTGCTGACTTTCTCAAACAAGCTTATGTTGGCTTTTTATTTCCACTGAACTCTGCTGAGAGAGATCTGGCACTGCAGGAAGGAGCTGGATTCTCTCCTTTACACCAGCAGCACCACTAAGCTGTAATTACTCACACCTGTCCAAACCTACAGGCACAAACGGGCTGCACACATGGGCTTTTCAGGTCCCCAGTCAGATCCTCAGCCACACTGAGCTGCGGCTACTTTGGAAGGAACAGTTCTACCACAATCCTTAGCATCCCTCTCTCCTGCAGTGACAGGTAAAAACCCAAGCTGCACACAGCAGTTTCTCTTTCACAGGCTCACTTCTTTTAGCAGCATGCCAAAACACAAAGCTTTCTCCTGCAGACTGCGATTTAGGGTAGCTTTGTCACTTTTTAAGACTTTCTTGAGCTTCTGGGAAGCTATTGTTTCCTCAGCAGCCTGAAGCTTGCTGCTGTCTGCAACCATCACTCTCTGTGACTGTAACAAGTCAACTTCCTAGTTAGAGATTTACCTGAATTGTGTGATTAGCACCAAGATATCTCAGCACAAAGAAAATGAGGCACAGCTACAAACAGCAGAATCTTAGAGGTGTTGGACACCCCCAGTGACCCTTCACCAGCCAGCAGAGGCAGACTATGTTGACCTGATGCAAATGAACATTAAACTCAAAGCTTAGTTTCTCTCCCATTCATAAGCCATGAACACTCATGACACAGATTCAGCAGATGCCTTAGGACTTGTTTCAAAGCCCCAGAAGCAACAGTTAAAGCAGAAAACATTAGGAAGAAAAATGCAAGAAAGGCCCTTTTTGTTCATCATTATGAGAAAGGGAAAAGACTTTCCTTTTTTCCATCTCTGGAAAGAGCCCTGTGTTTTCCTCTGCGTGAAAGATCAGATGCTAATCCCAGAACTAGGTTTTCACATGCACTGTGCAACCTGAATGTTGGACCAATAAGTCAGAGGGGCAGGTGGTAAGGGGAACCAAAGGTGCCTAATTTAATTCAAAGCTCTCTGAGAACACATATTATTTGTGTCCAGACCTTATACCTATAACTCTTAGAAGCAGCAATCTGGACCAGCTTTCATCAACTGCAGCAACTGATGGTGATGATAGTGGGATGTAGAGAAGATAAACACACCGATACAGAGAAAGCACATTTTCTGAAGGTCTGTGCAATGGGGATGCCAAGCATGAGCACATCTATAGACAGGTCATCCCTAAGTGCCCATTTCTTCATTTCTTTCTCCCTCCCTACTCAGGCTTCTTTGGAGGTATTCAGTGTAGCCTGTTTTCCAAGACCACCTTTTGGAGTTTGCGTGTGAGCATTCGGATAATGATGGGGAGCAAAGAGAATAGGCAATTTGTTCCTGTGTTTCGGAGGCATAGAGCAAATTAAGGAACTCAACCCAGCCAGTCCATCCACACATCCCCTCCCTGCACTGTAAGGACAGATGCATTGCTGGATAACTTACCTTCTTCACAGTTGCTCCCCGTGAAGCCAGGACAGCACCTCCACTCCAGCGTGGTCACAGTTCGGTAGGACATTTTGTATGTGGGCCTGATGAGAGTCCTGTAACTAACACAAACAAGCAAGTCAGTAAAATGCACTTACCTACTCAAGGGCAGCGTTGCTACTAATTCATAGCACATCTTCCTGCCTGGATAGATTCCCCAGAGCACCCAGCCACCCCCAGCTGCAGAAAAAGGAGAAAAACAAAATAACATAGCAAAGGTTTACCACAGAGTGGATCTGATGCAACAACCCTTATTTTTCTCCTTAAGGCCTCATACTCTTCTGGCTCTTCCTCACACCTCTCCCCCAAGTAACACCAGTATACTTTGTGGAGGTCTCATCGCTACCAAGTCGTTACAAGTGGCAGAGATGATGACTCTTGTTTCCCTCACACTACCTCCATGGGGATTTCTCTGACATTGGACAAAGGCTGGCACTAGCCTTTCCTCACTCAGTACTAATAGAGTTTCCAAAACATTACTCTCTCAAAAATTGCATGGATTTCTCGGGTTTCTTCCCCACCACTCAGATCTGGGGTGTATCAACACATCAGCGTGACAAAAATCATCACGACAACACTACATCAGTGATCTGCATGAAGCCTTTTTTCCAGCCAGCTGACCTGTGCCTCAGTTTCCCCCATCTGAAATAGGATTATACTCTTCCTCACCACAGCCGAGGTTCTGCAGGACACATTTGTTATCTCTGCAGCACACGGCACCCCAAGGGTCCTAATTAAGGCACAAGTACAGCCATGCCCCACTGGAAACCAGAGAGCTACCTGCAGACATGAGCAGACCTGTGCAAGGCACTAGTGATTCTGAAGTTAACACAAAATGGACAGTTGCATAAATTCCAGCTTTTCTTTCAAAAGAGCAGCCCTTCAAAGCTGGCAAATCAGGTTTCCCAGTATACAGCCAGACAAGCGACTGCTGCTATTCATGAAGCTAAAAGCAAACACAGAAATTGTACTCTACAAGCTCCCCTCGAAATTCCTACCCTTATTTAACAGCCAAAGGAATTTGGCAAGCACAGGGAGAGGCTGAAGCTTTGGGATTACAGTGTTGCAGGCCGCAGTTTTATGCTTCTCCCTCAAGGCCAGACAGACACAAGCCCCAAGCACCCGTGTCTCCTCTGGGGAAGAGCCTCCTCCCGCAGTGCTGAGAGCCGCCGGGAGACGGAGCACTGCCCCAGCCTGCTCTGCCTGCAGCACTACCCCGGGCTCAGCTGGGAACAAGGCCAAAATGGAGCTAGAAATGGCATGAATCTCACCCAGAACCCCTCTAAGGGGTAGCAGTCACAGGTGTATGTCCAGAACAGCGCTGCAGTGACATTGGTAGTTACTCTGAAGAGCAGTAACAAAGGCTTGCCAGGAGGGGCTGCCCATGTATGTCTTGCAAAGAAGGCAGCAGCTCAGTGGTGGTTAACACAGCCTTTGGGAAACTAATTTCTCAGTAAGCTGTTGCTGATTATTTATGCCAGCTGCCAAACACAGAAACCAGCTTCTCCTGCAGCCACTGGAGAAAAGGGCCACACAAGCTTCCTCCTGAGCACGGGGCTGCCTGCACTTGGAACAGCATTGCCCAACAATGGGAGAGCAATGCTGTCTCCTGAGAACATTACGTCCTCACCCTCCAAGTTGCCAAAAAGCACACCAGTTACTGCTAATACTGACAACTGTGATCCAGGCACTTGTCTAATACAGGCTGGACAGAGCCAGCTCGTCCCACCTAGTTCTTTGCGCTTCTGCATCCAATGGTATTCAGGAATTTGCAGTCATGAGTGAGTTTGAGGACTTGGCACCATGTCGATGTAGGTAGACCTTTGTGCTTTTTCACAGAGACACCTAAGGCACAAAGACTTTAAGTGCCTTGCTGAGGGTCCCTCAGAATAGCTCTGGCAAAGTCCAGGAACTGAACCCAAGTCTCCCGACTCCGAGTCCTGGCGTTGGACTCAAGACATCTTTCCACACGTAAGCCCCGAACCATCAGTCAGAAGTTCATGACTTCGTCACTAACACAACAGCTGGATTTGACCTTGAGATGAAAGTCTCCAGCCCTGTTACCAGTGTCCGGAGCCAGCTAGTCTCCAACCACACCGTGATTTTAAAACCATGTTTCTGCCAACACCAAGATGTTAAAGCTCTCTCAAACTTCATTATGAAGTGTGGAGAGTGGCTTGAGCCAGACTGGAATCTTGGCAGCAGTTATGTGTCGGGGAAGTAGCTATAGTTTAATCCTCAAACGAGCAAGGACTTCTCAGGGCATGACAAACGTGGAGCTCAGCTGTCACAGCCTACCACCCACCCTGAATTTCCTGGAAGAGTCCTGACATTTGCAGCTCTGTTCAGCATCGTGCAATCAGGCATGCGAAGTGGTCCCAGCATGCTAGCTCCAATTTGCTCTAAAATTACTCTGTTCTTCATAGCATCATTTTTCTTCAATCATGTGACATGGCACCAAGGTCTGCTGTTACATATATCATCACATCACACAGAATTCTGACTGCTATTCCAGGAGGGGAGCAAAGAAAGCTCCTTTAGCAAAGCATCACCACTGATACGTTAAGTGTTGTGATTGAAGTAGAAGAAAAATCTTTGAAAAAGGAGAGGAAAAGAAGATACCCATTAAAGATCAGAAACCTCAGCGTGAAAGCAAGTGGAAAACACAACAGGCAGAAAAAAAGGATCAGTAGCAGAATAGGGAAGCCCTTCCCTTGGATGTCATCCAAGCCACAAACACTGGCATAGAAATCTGCAAAACCACAGTAAGAGAAGAGGTTAGGATGAGCCACAACCTGCACCTCTTTGCTTCCCAGAGAGCCAAAGGATGTGCTCAGCATTCACAGGCCCCTTTAGCAGAAGGATTCCAAGCACTTCACAAACTACCAGGACCTGCTACTATTGCAAGAGACAGGCATCACTTACCAACATGTTTGCTGAGGCTCACAGCAAGGTCCCAGGGAGTGGGGCAACACTGGAGGGAAGAACGCAGAAAACTCAACTAGCAGCCGCTACTGTTACTAGATCAGATCAAATGCCTGTCTGACCCTGGAGACTGCTGGATCAGTGTCACAAGCTACAGAAGCTCATCCATATGCAGTCATCATCTGACGAACAGTCTCTTGCTTGTGTCTAAGTGGTGATTTGGGGAGGAAGCACAAGAATGACTGATTAACTGATTTGGGGGTATGAAGCTAGAAATACTGGAGAGGTCAGGACACATCGAGGGATGGCAGCCAACAAGTCTCACACCTCAGCACACAAGGATATGTTCCCCTTGCTCTGAAGGAAGTGTCACCAAACACAACAGCCAGACATGACACAAGAAAGAGAAAGAGGGTCACATTCTTGGATTAGAGCCTCAAAAATCCAGTCAAAGAGAAAAGCGCAATCTCTGCCATGACCCAAGCAGGACAGCCTGTCACACACAGGAAATACCTTCCCTCCTTCATGGATTTCCCCTGCCCTTTGACACTTACAAACAAAGCTGTTTGTACACAAAGACCACACGAGAAAGAAGGCGTGAAACTCATTTCCACATCACAAGAGATGGTTTTGTTAGCCTGATTCATTCAGCCATTGCAGTTTGTGCCCAAGGAGACCTTGGTGACCTTCGGAGGCTTCTATTCATTTTTATTCAAGTTCCAGGTTGAAAGTTATTGGTAGGTTTCAGGATAACAAGAGGAATGAACTTGCCTTTTTGACTGGCAAAGAATCTGGAAACCAAGGAATCCAAGCTTTCTTTTACCTACCACTCTCACGGCAACAAAGTCACGTATCAACCCAGTAGCTCCAACCCTGTACATATAACTGGTATATTGTCTTTCCAAGAGGGACAATCCATCTTCATTATAACAAGTGCTACCTTTGCATTAAAAGAAGATCAGAAGAAAGCTTGTGGTGGTTCTTCTAATTTTTGTACCCATGGCCTCATTTACAGACATGCCAAAAATCTAAAATTCCCCACAGAAAATCAGGGTGTACTGAAATAAAATTTTAAATATGTCAGGTTAAGGAACCAAATCTTGAAGTACTTGGTGGCCTTGGAAAGAAGGGAGGATGGAAAGAGCTGGGCAAGCATTAACATAGAAAAGAATATCCCAGGGGTGTACTCAGAGAACCTGTTTCTCAGAAAAGCTATCAAGAACATATCTGGTTCCCAACACCACCATCCCCACTCCAGACAGACCATTATAACTATTCAAAGCCTACCAGACACCAGTTACCCAGGTAGCATTCTCTATGAAATACAGACAAGATAACTTCATCTCAAACCAGTGCCACAACTGACACAGGGACAAGAAGTACCTTTGCCATCATGTTTGCACTCACGAGCACAGCAGAGACCATCATGCTGTGAATCAGATCTGTGCTACTTTTTTTCTTGCAGCCCCAGCTCTTCCAGCTTCCCTAGCACAAAGGCAGTAGCTCCCCAAGGAAGAACGTAACCAGAGGAGTTTCAGATGTGCTCCTGCAGACACCGGACAAAAACCAAAACCCGCAGCTGCACGAGCGTTGGAGGCCACGGTTTGTGTTTTGTGCCTTTGCCAAAGGGGAGGAAGAGGACTGTAACTCTGAGCATGTCTGGTTTGCACAAGTTATCAAGAGTCTAAAACCCAGAAGACAGAAAATTTATACAGCTGCCACTGCAAGTTGTACAGAGAAATACTTTACAGTCTCTCTGTCCCAAGAAAAAAAGACAACGGACACAGAGACAGGTGTCTTTATGCCACCAGAGTAATCATCAGTTCCTGTCTTTATCAGCAATTAGCTCTTGGTGCTATTGCAGAGCAGTGCTGCACTTCCCTACCAAGAAGGAAGAAGAGTGCCCAGCCAGCATGTCTGGACAAGATCAAAAGACCTTCAATTAGCAACCGGAGGACACCTATGCCTGTGCACAGCCTACAAAGCAGATGGCCCTCCACCTGTGCCCAGCCAGCAGCACACAGCCATCCACATTGTTGCAGACCTGAGAACGCACCTCTATGCTACAGCTCTAATCCCTTACACACCCGGAGCCTCTATCCGTCCTGTTTGCAGGAGTGCTCTTCATCCT